TCTCTCTCTCTCTCGCTCTCTCTCTCTCTCTCCTCTCTCTCTGCGCTCTCTCTCTCTCTCTCTCTCTACTCTCTCTCTCTCTCTCTCTCTCTTCTCTCTCTCCTCTCGTCTCTCGTCTCTCATCACTCTCTCTCCTCCTCTCTCTCTCTCTCTCTCTCTCTCTTCTCTCTCTCTCTCTCTCTTCTCTCTTCGCTCTCTCTCTGCTCTCTCCTCTCTCTCGTCTTCTCTCATCTCTCTCTCTCCTCTCTCTGCTCTCTTCTCTCTCTCTCCATCTCTCTCTCTCTCTCTCTCCTTTCTCTCTCTCTCTCTCCTCTCTCTCTTCTCTCTTCTCTCTCTCTCTCTCTCTCTCGTCTCTCTCTCTCTCTCTCTCTCTCTCTCTCTCTCTCTTCTCTCTCTCGTCTTCTCTCTCTCTCATATCGGTCATCTCTCTCGCTTCTCTTCTCTTCGGTCTCTCCGTCTCTCGGTCTCTCGGTCTCTCGCCGGATCTCTCGCGTCTCTCGGTCTCTCGGTCTCTCGGTCTCTCGGTCTCTCGGTCTCCTCGGTCTTCGGTCTCTCGGTCTCTCGGTCTTCCGGTTCTCGTCTCTCGGTCTCTCGTCTCTCGCTCTCTCTCTCGCTCTCTCTCGCTCTCTCTCGCCATCTCTCTCGCTCTCTCTCGCTCTCTCTACTCTTCGGTCTCTCGGTCTCTCACGGTCTCTCTCTCTCTCTCTCTCTCCCTCTCTCTCTCTCGCACCTCTCTCGCTCGGCTTGCTCTCTCTCTCTCTCTCTATATATATATATATAATATCAGTGATACTACATGTTTTCTAAACATATTAAACGAATTGCCACCAGGCTAGCTAAGATACCAATCGATTGTGAAAGAATATTCTCTTTTATTTGATTAGTCGTACGAACAATAATATTATTTACCAATTGAATTCATAATCACAGTAGGGGTAATGCAACACTAATGACTGTAAATAATAAATAAGAAACTTTTGTGTTGTTTTCAGCACTTGTGTCAGATAGTGATGCTGACGACGGCTTGACTGAAGGCCTAGAAGCTGAACAGGGTGAAGAGGCACCTGCAGATAAAGCACAGTCAAGTGATAGCGACGACGATAGAGGGCCCAAAGAGTGAGTGAATTTGTTCTCGCTAGCAACGGAAAACGGGAGAATATAGGAAGCAACGTGATGAGAATGCGTATAATATATATGGATATATATGTAAATATAAAATGTGCAGGGTGACTAGTCATCTAGAAATAGCAGTATATGCCTGTAAATTAATATTGCCTTAAACATCACAGAATTATGCCAAAAAAACAATCCGGAAAAGCCATGGAGAAGTAGAGTAAAATTTAGGGATTTTGCATCATGTATATTTAGATGCAAGGCATGTCACATTGTGTAGTTGTTATATGGTCACAGGCGAATATAATATTTATTAATTAAATTTTTTTTTAATTCTTGGCACAATATAGGGATATTGTCTACGATTTTGATGTAATGCTCCAAAAGAAAAAAGAAGAAAACAGATTGCACAGACGAAAGAAACGAGATTACGACATAATAAACGACAATGATGATGTCATCGCTGCTATGTTAAAAGACATGAAAGAGGCTGCAGAGGTGTGTATCGTGCTTCAACGATAGGATCATCAGCTAAACCACTATGAGAAATATAACTGATTTTCTTTAGCAAAAATATAACTGTAATGTAGATTTTGAATTTTTTAAATACTGCTCATATCATTTGTGCCATGGTAAGCTCCAGCCAGCCGTGTCGTTCCTGAGCTATCTGGCTCGAGCCAGAAAAGAATGTAAAGGCAAAATTATATGTATTTTCTGTGTATAACAGTGTCGTCTCTATAGATGTAAATATAGTTATGCATAGGTCACTCACTTGTATTTCATATTAATTACTGAGAATGGTTGCTACAAGTCCCCCCCCCCATTTTGGGTACAATTCCTCCCATGTTTGGTGCAAGTCAAATAGAAAGTTTGTTACAGGAGGACAGAGTTTTAAACAGGGAGAAGAAGCCAGCTGTGAAGAAGCTGAAGATGCTACCTATCGTGCTGCAGCACCTCAACAAGTGAGCATCAGCGCAGTAGAAATTTTGTTGTCTGTTAGAAATATAAATTTTCTTCAGCATTTGCTCACGTAAATGTCTGTATCAATGGTTGATCTCAATAAGCGCTTTACGTGATTTTGCTGAGGTAAAGACGTTTGGTGTGGCTCACAGGTTAGAAGCAGTGCGCAGTGCCGGAGCAATCAATATACATTGATGTATTGTGGGAAAACTCCCCATGCTTTCATTCATCTATGATTATAATAGGGGTAAATCAGTATACGTTGTCTATCATTCACTAGCTTAACATAGATGGTGAAATGTTAATGTGTTGTTTTTTAATAAAAATTGAATTTTTTTTCACAGAGCTGATCTCCAAATGCCGCTACTAGATGCTGGGGTATTGACAGCCATTGCCGACTGGTTCATGCCTCTGCCAGATAGGAGCCTTTGTCATTTGCAAATTAGAGAAGGTTTCCTTAAGGTTCTTGAGTCGGTGAGTCATGATTGATAGAATTCATTGTTCTCATGATATTTTTTCTTTTTTTGTCCCAGTGGATTTGCGTATTTAACTTGGCTGTAATTAGCAGAAGTTAACCCGTTGAGTTTGAGCCCGTCTGTAATAATACAGCATGCTAGCGGCATCTATGTGTGCATTCAAAATGCTGGTGCTTTCTAATGTTTATGTTATACATAAAGATCCGAGCGTACACATTATTTGAAGTGTTCTTTCAAATTTGGACAAATGTTAGTTTCATCATTGTGACTACTAAAAATTTACCACAATTTGTGCTCAGTGCACTGGAACTATATACTAGCTTAATAATATGATATATCGGGGGAGATTCTTGGTTACATAACATTATGACGACTTATTGTAGTCATTGATATTATGCAGTTTCCAGCCGTGGATCAACATCTCTTGAAGACGAGTGGGGTGGGTAGGGCAGTCATGTTGCTTTACAAACATCCGCGAGAGACGAAGGATAATCGATTTAAAGCTGGGAAGCTCATAAGTAAGTGACAGGGGTAGAAATTTACTTTTGAACAAGTGAGTCTAACGGACTCCCTACCCTCAAAAAGAGGGAGTCTGCAGTCTGAAGTTCAAAACTAAAGATATTAACAAAACGGACATTTCCGGTGCACGTCTGCCAAATTTTCCTGGGACATTAAGGTTTACTAAAAAAAATAGGTTAATTCTGCGAGGCAGTGTTCTGGAACGAACTAGTTAGTATAGCAGAATTTTCAGGGAGTCACACGGACTCCTGCATAACAGGGAGTCCGACAGTAAATCAGGGAGTATTTGACTCCGGACTCGCGTTAATTTCGCACCCTGAAGTGATGTGCACCAGAACAGTTGTGAGTGCCTTCAGCTGTTTATTTTTGAGGATCACAGGAAGCATGTAATAGATAAAGCTAATTTAGTTTAGCGGTATTGTTCTTCATAGTGCGAGGAAAGACAACAACCGTGTGCTAATACTTGGTAATTGCAATGGCAAATATCTCATGCGGCAGGTTAAATGTGTATAAATAGGTATTGCCAGGCATATAGATTGTGGCTATGTTTTTTAGATGAGTGGGCAAGGCCCATCTTCAACTTGGCTTCAAATTTCAAGTCCATGTCAAGGGAAGAGAGAGAGCAAAGGGATTATCAGCAAATGCCAAAGCGAAGAAAGCTCGTGTGAGAATGCTAATTGTGCTTTAATGTTAATTATCCATTATCTATTATAAGTAGGCTATGTATTATAGGATATCTATAATTACTTTGCCATTCCTGCTTAGTGCATTGTGTGTGTGGACTTATATTATTGTATAATTGTTTTTTCTGACTTTTTTATTTTACTCATTGGTTCTTAACTGGTTCTACTCAATTTCTGACTTTACTTACAATACATTCACGTGCATGAATATAAGGTACACATAGTGATGAAAGAACCAATTTCGAAACCATTTCTTCGTCGAAAGCACCTTACTTATTAATGCTGTTGTTTTAGTGAAGCTGGTGGTATGACTCCTGCCAGAAAAGACATTGACAAGGCTCTGGAAGGAGAAGACAGGTAAAAGCTTGGTGATAACTATGGCTTTTCATGGTTCATAGGTCATTATTCTAATTTCGAACGTTTAATGCCAGTGTTAAAATCCAACCAACCGTATGAGGCCTATTAGATCAATAATGCTGTTTCGTGATTAAGTTTGTTAGTATGCGTGTTATGGGCGTAACTATATAGAGTAGCTCGGGTAGCTTTAAAGCTAGACGAACATAAATTCATGGTTCATAGCACTGCAGTCAGTTACATTGCTAGTAAATGACATTAAAGAATGAACATTCTTTCATGATTGTTCACTCGTAGAGCACACAACGCCTGTATAATTAATGGTATACAATTAACATTATTAATTCATTAACAATTACAATTAATTAGTCATATTATGTTGACATTCGTGTTACAGAGCACCTCGCCCTGGTGATCCTGGATTTATAGCTAGGGCACGCGTACCGATGCCATCTACAAGGGACTACGTTGTACGACCTCGATGGAACGTTGAGTCGGAAGCGATGCCTATCAGGGTAAGCTTACGCCGATGTTATGCTGAATTTCACGTGGGCATTGTAACACTTTGTGCTTTTATATAATAAAGAGTTGTTCAGTCAGTATTTAGGTTCTATCATGGAGCATATTTATTATTCATACACTGGGTCTACATCCGAACCGGTCAGCCCCTAGTTGCACTTGCAAGTCATTCCCTGTCATAACAGATGTTCTAAACTCACTTATCTGATATCGCTGTATTGTGCCAAGAGGTGACGCTGCCTGTTACAGGCATGTATTGTTATACACAGTTCTGTAAGTTCCAGTGGCAGGTTGCCTTGATCTCAATGCGAAATCAAGACACTAATCCTTTCCTCTTGTAAGTGAAATGGACGGCAATCCTGACAGGAAGAATGACGTCATTGAATGACAATCGTCAGTTGGTCGTTTCATGCCGGCTTCACTTGGTATTTGCAGAAAGCCGAGAAGTCGAAAAATGACCTTCGCCTGGAGAAGCATAAACGCACGTTTAGGGAGAAGAAAGCTATGTCGAGGAAGAACCTTCGTGCAGTGTCGATTAGTGTCGAGGGAAGGAAGATGCCCTTATAGCAGTGGCTACTGTGTCCTCTCTCGCGCGTATTCCCACATTATTCCTTCATCCTCTCTCTCTCTCTCTCTCTCTCTCTCTCTCTCTCTCTCTCTCTCTCTCTCTCTCTCTCTCTTTCTTTCTCTCTCTCTCTCTCTCTCTTTCTCTTTTACTGGTATTCTCTCTCCCTTGCTCGATCTGCCTCTTTCTTTCCTCCCTTCCTCTCTTTTGACTTATTCTCACATCATCCCTTTGTCTTTATGCTTTCTTCCCTCTTGTTCTCTCTGTCTATCTCTTTCTCCTTCCCCCTCTCTCTCTCTCCTCTGTCTGCTTTTGTCGCTGTCTGTCTCCTTCTCTGCTTATTCCTGTTGTATATCTTGATCACTGTTTAACTTGTCAGCCTTTATCGAATCGCTCGTCTTACTTACAGTCCTTATGGTCTTGTGAAACATCTGCGCTATGCTGTAAATCCATGTGATGATGGAATGTGCTCGTCTGTATAGATGGTGAGATTGTACTCTTTGGACAATAGCGTAACGTGCTCGTGCGTATGCAAAAGAAATTATTTCTATTCGTAAAATATTGATATTTTTTAGCAAGAGCTTGTACAGAAAACTGCAAATTTGTGAAAGACATCGGTGACAATAAGATATAAGTAGGTATTGGCTAGCATTTATATTGCTTCTGTGTGTACAATTTGGATAAGTATTATTTGAGAAATGTACATTTGTAAAATTATACGCTCATGAGTGTATTTCTTAAACAGTACTAGTAGTTCACTCAATACAGTAAGGTCAATGCCTGTACTTCCTGGGTGTACAACGTGGTTGCATCGTTGCCTATGTCAATTTAAATCACTGGATTACTGTCTTCGACGTGTCTAGGAAATTGCACAACGAATATACTCATTTTTGCTATTAAAATAATTTCGAATAAAGGTCGGGGTTTTTTGTTACTCAATCATACGGGAAAGTTCTTACTTCGCTTGGATGAGTTTACTAAAACCGGAATGATAGCGGTTTATGTAGTGAACGTAATGCCATGATTCAGGAGGTAACTCTTCAATGCATGCATTATACCAAAATTTATTTAAATAACTGAAGCTATTTTATGAATGCATTAAACAGTCCAGCTAGGAATCATGGTACTGGATTTGTGTTCTGCTCAAGTAAAGCTGGTCTAGTGTGTTGCTTTATCAGCTTTAATAGTCAATATTTTCTTATTTTCAGTTAAACCTAAAGGTCTGAAACGACTTCACCCTGTAAATAGGTCACTGATACATTTTTACAATTCTCGTGTAACATGTAAAGACGTTCATAACTTGACTAATATTTTGACATTTTCCAGTCAAATATAGTCATTGTACTTCGAAGTATATGTGAATAAATTAAATAATAACGAAAATTTGTCTTTACAGTTACTGCATACATTTTTTTGTCTCGTGGCGTCATTTATTGAGCTCAGCTGATGTAATTACATTTTTTTTTCATTTAAACATTTATTTATCTTGATATACTGGACATCACTATCACAGTAAAGCATTTGAATAGTCATTGTTCAGAGCAAAGCTCAGGTGCTATAACATTAATAAAGTGCAACATTGTGATAAGAATTTTTCATCTCACAACAGTGAATTTGATGAGCTCTCTAATTTAAATGTATAATTTCAACAAGATAATTGCGGACTGTTCGCCTGGCAGCTATGGATCGTGGCGCCCCGGCAATTCATTCGGGCAACGATCCATAGCTGGCCAGCCGCTCGCACCTACTCCGCTGTAGCGCACGTTGCCCCCGGCCGGTCCGGCCCGCTGCGCCTTCGCCGCCGCGAACCCCTCCCCGCCGCGACAAGCATCTGCGCTTCAGGCGCGGCAATTGCGGATCACACATCCTCATTCTCGGGCATAACGGGCTTCTCCTCAGTCATCCCGCGTCTCATCTGGATTGGCTGAAATGCACGCCAGATCCCATTTTCGTCGTGCAATCGGACGTCTGGTATGCCTACGTTGCAGCGGTGATCCCCCTATGGGCCGGAGCAGCGCTTACTCTCAGTAGACATCCAGACGTTATATGGTGTCTTTGGCTCAGTGGAGACGGTCCTTCTACCCAAGCAATGCTTCCAACAACGGTGCGTCCGGCTCCAGTTTGGGCTCTCTGGGCGGCAGGCCAATGGAAATTGGGGCTGTCCGCGACTGTAAGTGCAAGCATGCCTGTGCTGGTGTATATATTACTCTTGTGCACGATCGCAAATCGCGAAGGTAACTGGACCGATGTAAATATAAAAGTAACGATGTCTTATATGCCTCGCCACTTGTTTTGACAGACATCCTCTCGTGGCCACATCGCTCTAGTAATCCTATCTACTTCTATTCATTTCTTTATTTATATTATTCAGCTTATTTATTTATTTATTTATTTTTTTCTTTATTTTTTTTTCTATTTATTTATTTTATTTATTTTATTTAGCGATATTTGTGTCTTTGCAGCCATAGATTATAGATATTTATTTCCTTTCTACGCCAGGCCGTGCAAATACGACGGGTGTACCCGATAGAACTCGGGTGTCCAGGACGGAGAGATGTTTGAGACGCCAGGCGCGCTGAGGATTGGGAAGCCATACTCGTACATAGGGCCCAGTAGAGTTGCAACGCAGGCTACGCAAAGATTGCTCCTATTTCTTCTAGCAACGTAGGCTTACAGCTATTTAAGCAACTAACGTCGTTTTTATGCCATAAATGTGACAATCAGCGAGTGGCATATTTGCGTTAGGCTTTTATGTCACAGAACTGTCAGACTTAACCGAATGCAGCGTACCATTATTACTAGAACCATTTTTTGTCATAAAATTGCAGGTGGGCGACTGGTGGTAGCTAAACCTTTGGTCGCCGGATGAAGATAATCAATATTCGGAAACACCAATGACGCGTATCCAAGTGTAACGCGGTTAATAACACTAAAGGATAATGTCGCACGCTGGGCTGAAAAGAAGGCCATCATTGATGTTATGTTATTATGCAGTTTAGCGAGACCAGCCTCCAGCAGTGCTGCCACCTATCGGGGCCACACCGGCAAACATGTTCAACATCCTGTAGGTCCTATTGTGTCATGCGGATAAAGGCATCTTATGTTATCAATACTTGGCTCAAACATATCATCTGGCGACGAGGTATAACTATGAGAACGGCCAGCGCCACGCAATAGAACATAGCCTGGAGAATTTTTCAAGCGTACAAGCCTCAGCCTATGTGCGAGCGCATTTTAATGCAGATGCCATAAACGCGCATGGCGAATTCCTATTGTTCTGTTTGGAGGAGTGTAGTGGAGGTAGTGGGAGCCGGCTGTTGTACTCCCGGTGACTGCTATTGTCCGATGAGTCTGTTGCTGGTACCGATGCTATCAGGTATATTGCCTTGAAGCCTCAACCACCACTCGCCTCGCATCCAACGATAATGGCGCTGCTCCAGCATTCCCGCATTTGAGGCTGAATCTCGACTCAAAATATAAATATGGCCCGATGGCAGCATCGGAAAATGGCTTGACACGCTTTGAGAGAGCTGATGACCTGCCATGGCTATTAGCCCGATGTCACCCGAAACTGCAATGTTCACTATGCAGGGACGCGAGTCGACGGATATCGACAGTCGGACAATCGAGGATGCTACGGGCCGATGCCTAGGAACAGTGCGCCATCAGCCGCCCCAGTCGACTTTCAGCCGAAGCAGTAATGCAGCTTGAAGTAACCTTCCGCCAGGCAACGCAGAAGGGGCGATAAACTAGATGCGGTCTGCGACACGGCCTTCGTCAACTGGCTAAAGCGTGTGTTGCCTACCAAGAGATAAACGCCAACGCAAATCATTTTTTTCGTTGCAAGTTCCCAGAGTCTCGGTCCGCCAGAGACTTAAGAGACATCTGAACCTTGACGATCTAATAATTGGCCACGCCTCACTAGAGATCAGTGAAACGCAAGCTAAAACCGTGGAGGGCCAGCAAATTCGGCACACGGTAAATTTTATGAAGGACCAGTCATCAATCTCGCTGACAAGCGGCAAATCACGTGGAATGGACCGCTCCAACTCGCAGTTCCTATCGACGCCGCAGTCCAGCCACACGCCCAATGGGAGGTCCCAATCACGGAGCCGAAGCCCCGACAATGGTAGCCAGACGAACGCAACAACCACCGGCCAAGTGTTACTACTTGTGGGCTCAACCTGCCCCACCTGAACTGCCCTGCTAGGGAAAGACATGTGGCAAAAATGCGAAAACGGCGCTCATTTTTGGCTCAGGTTTTGCAAAATCGATAGCTCCAATATGGACAAACCCGTCGACCACCAGCAAATGTTGTCAGCAATGTGAGCAACCTACGTAAAGAACTCCGATGATGGAGAGAGAATACCTTTGCGCCGCTACACACGACGAACTCGTCAGACGCATCAACCAGTCGAGCTCATCTGCCTCCAGTTTAAGTATTGGCCGCACAGCAATTCCAAGTTCAAATGACCATCGAATTCATGGCGCATCCGTCATATCCTCGATCAAGCACCGTATGACGCCATTTCCTGAACGCCCACCACTCGTAGTCACATCATCGCGAATCTACTTCGTATATGGTTCCAGCAGCCTTTGCAGTCCTCGGTGTGTTCGCATCAAGACCGTAAGGTTACGACTCTTACAGAGCTTGGACATAAAACTTACACCGTTTGTCAAGGGCTCCGGAGGTAACCTACTATGGATGCCGTCTAGCTCAGGACCTTGGGATTTCCTATGCTGGCTCGCTAACGCAGTCCAAGAGAATCCTAGTCGTCTACTGTACCATCCCAAGCCAGCTGCTAGACAGTATCCCACAACTTTTTTGATGGCATCGGCAAAATCAAGGACAAGATGGTGAGATTGCACATCGACGAAGATGTCCGCCCGAAGCAGCAGCCACACCGACGGGTGCCATTCCATGTTCGAAAAGATGTCGAAGCAACACTCGATCGACTGGAGGCCCAGGATATCATCGAGAAAGCGGACGGCCCAACGCCCTGGGGTCAGTCCCAGTCGTTATAGTTCCAAAGAAAATCCGGAGAAGTGCGCATATGCGTCGACATGCGTGAAGCGAACAAAGCTGTCCGCTCGCCGCGAAAGACATTTGATGCCCACTATGGATGAACTGATTTCTGATCTTAATGGCGCGACAGTTTTCAGCACGCTCGATCTCTCCTCTGGATATCATCAACTAGAGTTGCATCCTGAGAGCAGATATATCACGACTTTTAGCACGCACAAGGCTCTCTACCGCTACAAACGCCTAATGTTCGGCATCAATGCGGCTTCTGAGATTTTTCAAGAGTCCATCGCGAGTATTCTTAAAGGACTGCCAGGAGTCAAGAACATATCTGACGACATTATTGTGTACGGCAAAGGCACGCGAGCATACAAGAATCTCCTACGTGTTCTAGAGCGCCTTGATGACTACGGTGCCCGCCTCAATGGACCGAAGTGCAAATTCGCGAGGCCATCCGTTACGTTCTACGGACATGTTTTTGGAGGTCTTGGAGTCCGCGCTGACCCACAGAAGCTCAGTGCAGTTAAAAATGCACCCGCTCCAACCAACGTTTCTGGTGTACGCTCCCTACTGGGAATGGCCCAATACGTAGCACGCTTCGTTCCGAACTTTGCCAGCATCACCGCGCCGATCAGAGAGCTCACTCGTCAAGATGTCGCGTGGAAATGGGAAGATCCGCAAGAAGAAGCCCTGCAGAGACTTCGCGATGCGCTCACAGCAACCCCGACGATCACGTACTTTGACCCCGCCAAGAAGTCTCAACTCTTCGTTGACGCCAGCCCTTCTGGCCTCGGTGGAATCCTCACCCAAGATGGTCAAGTCGTCAGCTACGCCAGCCGTGCCCTGTCTGACGTTGAAAGCCGCTATTCGCAAACGGAGAGAGAAATGCTCGCAGTCGTCTGGGGTGCGGAACACTTCCACTTGTACCTGTTTGGTGCTGATTTTGATGTCTTCACCGACCATAAGCCGCTACTAGGCATCTTCAAGAGCCAACGCCCTGCGTCCGCCCGTATCGAACGATGGCGTATTCGTCTCACGCCATATTCCCTCAGTCTGCAGTATCGTCCAGGAAAGGATGACACCAATCCAGCTGACTATCTGAGCCGCCATCCTATGCCTACACCAAGCTACACGGATGCAGTCGAAGATCAGGTCAACTATATAATGACCAACGCAATGCCAAAGGCCCTCAGCATCAAGGAAGTGACCGACGCTACGAATGGCGACTCCACTCTGTCTGCCGTTAAAGCTGCCGTGGCCACAGGAAATTGGTCAGACGCAACAGTCGAGCCATATCGTAAAGTCAAATACGAGCTTGCAATCTGCCAGGACATCATATTACGTGGAACACGTTTAGTCC